TTAAGCATAAAAATAAGCAATACTGAAAGTTTAGTGTATTTTTATGCCTTCCAAAAAAATCCAAAATTTTTCCCATTTTTGATACTTTGATGTTGACCCGTGACATCTCTGTTTATTTTTTTTTTTTTTTTTTTTGCAATAAAACACCCGATTCGTGATCAAGGGATCCCATATCCAAGGTTATTACCCTCGCCGTATTTGTTTTTCAATTTTTTCATATTTCTGTTACACCCTAACTTATATAAGTGAGTAGGGATTATACTCCAACCGACAATAAAAAAGTTTATGGACCATGTAAGGCTTCGTTGTGGAGTGTTTGGACTTCTCGATAGAATATTATCTGTGAAGCCAAACGTATTAAAATTGGGTAAAAAAATTCGGTGGAGTTGGTATAAGCGGTGAATCTTAAAAGAATACGTGATGAATCACGCGCAGATCGAAAGATAATTGAATTTTTTTTTTGCATATATGCAAATTTTGGAGATATGGGCCAGTATTCTTATACACTTTTCCGATCATTTTTTTCCGAAAAGTATATTTCTATGAATGAATATTGTTTTTAATACACATTGCAGCAAATAGCGAAAATAATAGGCGTTATTCATAAGACAAAAAAAAACAAACAATATTCATTATTTTCAGTGAAATTATTCCGAAACCTCTCTACATGGTGGAATTAATTATATAGTTTCTCTTTTTAAAAAAATAATAATTTTTTGTCGTTTCAGTATTTGGCGACAAATGTAGACATCAAATTACCAAAATAAAACTCTAATAGGACTCTATATTTGTCGCCAAACGTTAAAAAGATTTTAAAAAAATGTCACACACTCGAAATGTCAGCTTCCGTCAGACGCTGAAACGGACTGAAAACAATAGAAATGATTGTTATATTGATTGTAGTAATTTAATTGTTAATATAATAACAATAATTTCTTCTATTATTTTCAGTGAGCTGAGTTGTTCATATAAACAACAATTCCGAACGATTCTTGTGGAGTTGTCGTAGAATACCAGCCATGGTAACAGAAAATACATAAAAAGTGTAATAAAACGCAAATTTTTTGTGGCTTAAAAAATCGCAAAGTACTGATAAATAACTTGAAATAAGTGGAATGTTGACAAAAAAAGTATAAGGTCTCTATTTTTTAAAAACCAAGAGGAATTTCAATTTGTGTCAATATTTTCGCCTCGGGCCAAAGCCCCTTCTTTTTTTCTATTGACTTACTCGAACATTTATGACTGGCATCGAGGGAAACAGCTCCTTAAGTCGAGATTCAACGATAATACCCGATTGTGTGTCCCATCGTGCACCTTCCATAAATAACCCGTGTACGTAAGCACCTTCTCGAGGAGCACCCCTATCCATGCATATTCGAAACGAATATTGCATGTAGTTTAATTTGCAAGTAATTGCATTTAATGTCGAATACATCAGGTAAATACTTACGTGAATTCTTCTTTTTGTTTTTTCGTTACATCACAAACCAAACACATTTTATCCAGTGGAAGCTCGTTACGACGCGCCGTACTCTGCATAATTGCCGTCAAAAGTGATTGTGGATTGAAGAATCCAGCCAGCCAAATGCACGTTGGAAGCTGAAACAAGTGGACAAAAATACAATAAAAATGAAATAAAATATTCTATTACAAGTTAGATATCCAAAATCTTACCACAAAATCAGTAGACCAAGCTTCTAATTCACGAAGACGCATAAGCAAATCAACGAACCAATTCGTCAAACCCAACAATGACGGATAAGCACGAGAGGCCCAAATCATTGGTACTTGGTCAAGAAATAATGCATTTTCAAGTACTTCCATTTCCAATGTAATTGTCAATTCACCTTTTAAACCTAAATCCAATTCTTTAAGTGAACGTTTCATTTCACCAGTTAAATTATTCATTCGTTCACATTCTTGGAAGGCAACAATGATATATCTTATGCAAATAAATAAATAATTACTCAATAAAATGTTCAATGTTCTAATGTAAATAGCAAAACATACGGTGTTCGTTCTTCAACTTTATTCATGACCTCTATCATGTTAAATTCTTCTGGTAGTTTTTCTATAATTTCATCCAATATTTGCTTAACCTTATCCTCCCGACTTACAGTCGACCCCTGTCCACCTTCATTGCCGCGTGGTTGCATTTCAAATACCGTTCGAAATAGATTTTCCGAAGTTGTTGTTAAAAATCCTATCTCAGCATTTGGATGCAATCCTGCTCAAAAGAAGTGCGAATACAGAATACGTTATTTTTCAAAAGAAGGGAGAAAGAAGAAAGTTTCTAGTGTTTACACTTAGTTTCGAAGTACAGGGTGTGCCAGTGAAACTGATATTTTTATATATGCTTAAAAAACGTGTTGTTTTTTTACAAAAATTGAACAAAAACTTTATTGAGATTTAGAATAGGGTCCAAAATTTTGAATTCATGTTTTGGTTTTGATTCTTCCTCCATTTGCACGGATCACCAAACGGAAACGTCGTAAAAACGATTTACACGCGGCGCGCACTATTTCGATGGGAATATCGTTCCAAATCTTGACGATTTTCTTTTCAAATGCATCCAATTTTGTGATTTTCTTAATCTTCAGATCATTTAGCTTCGATTGCATGTAGCCCCACACAAAATAATCCAATGGATTCAAGTCTGGAGACGATGGCGGCCACTCATCTTTGTCAATAAAATCA